AAACAAGAAAGAAGTTAAGGAGGTGAATAGAACATTAGAAAAGTTAGGTATGATAGACCTCTGGAGAAAACTGAATGGGGATAGAAAGGAATATACTTTTTTCTGGCAGTACATGGCACATAAACAAAAATTGACCATGTAATAGGGCATAAAAACCTCACAGTCCAATGCGGAAAGGCAGAAATATTGAATGCTTCCTTTTCAGATCATGATGTAATAAAGGGCCATGGAAAGATAGACTGAAAAATAATTGGAAACTAAATAATCTAATCCTAAAAAATGATTGGGTCAAACAACAAATCATAGAAACAATCAATAATTTCATTCAAGAGAATGACAATAATGAGACAACATACCAAAACCTATGGGATGCAGCAAAAGCAGTTCTTAGGGGAAGTTTTATATCTCTAAATGCTTACATAAATAAAATAGAAAAAGAGGAGATTAATGAATTGGGCATACAACTAAAAAAACTAGAAAAAGAACAAATTAAAAATCCTCAACTAAGCACCAAATTAGAAAAATTGAAGACCAAAGGAAAAATTAATAAAATTGAAATTAAGAAAAATATTGAACTAACAAATAAAGCTAAGAGCTGGTTTTATGAAAAAACAATAAAATAGATAAACCTTTGGTTAATTTAATTAAAAAAAGAAAGAAGAAAACCAAATTACTAGTATCAAGAATGAAAAGGGAAGCTACCACCAAGGAAGAGGAAATTAAAACAATAATTAGGAATTATTTTGCCCAACTATATGCCAACAAATTTGACAATCTTAGTGAAATGGATACATATTTACAAAAATATAAATTGCCCAGATTAACGAAGAGGAAGTAAAATACTTAAATAACCCCATCTCAGAAAAATAAATTGAACAAGCCATTGATGAACTCCCTAGGAAAAAATCTCCAGGGCCAGATGGATTTACATGCGAATTCTATCAAACATTTAAAGAACAATTAATTCCAATACTATATAGACTATTTGGGAAAATAGGTGAAGAAGGAGTCTTACCAAATTCTTTTTATGATACAAATATGGTGTTGATACCTAAACCAGGAAGAGTCAAAATAGAGAAAGAAAATTATAGACCAATTTCTCTAATGAATATAGATGCAAAAATTTTAAACAAAATACTAGCAAGTAGATTGCAGCAACTTATCACAAGAATAATACACTATGACCAGGTAGGATTTATACCAGGAATGCAGGGTTGGTTCAATATTAGGAAAACTATCAGCATCATTGAGCATATCAACAACAAAACCAACAGAAACCACATGATCATCTCAATAGATGCAGAAAAAGCTTTTGATAAAATACAACACCCATTCCTATTAAAAACACTAGAAAGCATAGGTATAAATGGAGTCTTCCTTAAAATAATAAATAGCATCCATCTAAAACCTTCAGCAAGCATTATATGTAATGGAGACAGGCTAGAAGCATTTCCAATAAGTTTGGGAGTGAAACAAGGATGTCCATTATCACTACTGTTGTTCGGTATCATACTGGAAACATTAGCTTTAGTAATAAGAGAAGAAAAAGAAATTGAAGGTATTAGAATAGGCAAAGAAGAAACAAAGCTATCACTCTTTGCAGATGACATGATGATATACTTAGAGAATCCTAGAGAATCAAGTAAAAAACTACTTGAAATAATAAACAACTTTAGCAAAGTTGCAGGCTATAAAATAAACCCACAGAAATCATCAGCATTTCTATATATTACAGACAAAGCCCAATAGCAAGAGATAGAAAGAGAAATCCCATTTAAACTTACTATATTATAAAATATTTAGGAGTCTACTCCTCCTGAAACAAACCCAGGAACTCTATTACAAAACACTTTTCACACAAATAAAATCAGATCTAAATAATTGGAAAAACATCAGTTGCTCATGGGTAGGCCGAGCTAATATAATAAAAATGACAATCCTACCTAAGCTAATTTACTTATTCAGTGCCATACCAATCAAACTACCAAAAAATTATTTTATAGAGTTAGAAAAAATAATAACAAGATTCATTTGGAAAAACAAAAGGTCCAGAATATCAAAGGAACTAATGAAAAGAAATGCAGGGGAAGGTGGCCTAGCAATTCCAGATCTTAAATTGTATTATAAAGCAGCAATCATCAAAACTGCTTGGTACTGGCTAAGAAATAGGGAGGTGGATCAGTGGAATAGGTTAAATATGCAAGACACAGTAGTCAATGACTATAGTAATCTATTATTTGATAAACCCAAAGACCCCAGCTTCTGGGATAAGAACCCACTCTTTGAAAAAAACTGCTGGGAAAACTGGAAAAGAGTATGGCAGAAACTAGGCATAGACCCAAATCTCACACCATATACCAAAATAAAGTCAAAATGGGTTCAGACTTAGATATAAAGGCTGATACCATAAGTAAACTGGGAGAACAAGGAATAGTTTACCTATCAGATCTATGGAGAACAGAAGAATTCATGACCAAACAGGAGATAGAGAACATTATGAAAAGCAAAATGGATAATTTTGATTACATTAAATTGAAAAGTTTTTGCACAAACAAAGCCAATGCAACTAAGATTAGAAGGAAGGTAGAAAATTGGGAAAGAATTTTTACAACCAGTCTCTCTGATAAAGGTCTCATTTCAAAATATATAGAGAATTAAGACAAATTTATAAGAACACAAGCCATTCCCCAATTGATAAATGGTCAAAGGATATGAACAGACAGTTCTCAGATGAAGAAATTAAAGCCATCTATAGTCATATGAAAAAATGCTCTAAATCGTTATTGATTAGAGAAATGCAAATCAAAACAACTGAGGTACCACATCACACCTATCAGATTGGCCAACATGACAAAACAGGAAAATGATAAATGTTGGAGATGTGGGAAAATAGGAACACTAATACATTGTTGGTGGAGTTGTGAAATGATCCAACCATTTTGGAGAACAATTTGGAACTATGCCCAAAGGGCTACAAAAATGTGCATACCCTTTGATCCAGCAATAGCACTTCTAGGGCTATATCCCAAAGAGATCAAACAAATGGGAAAAGGACCCACATGTACAAAAATATTCATAGCAGCTCTTTTTGTGGTGGCAAAGAATTGGAAATTGAGAGGATGCCCATCAATTGGGGAATGGCTGAGCAAGTTGTGGTACATGAATGGAATGGAATGAACATGCTGACTTCAGAAAAACCTAGAAAGACTTATGTGGTCTGATGCTGAGTGAAGTGAGCAGAACCAAGAGGACTTTGTACACAATAACAGCCAGGTTATGTGATGACTAAGATTGTTAAACTGAACCCTTCTCAGCATTACAGGATCTAAGACATCTCCAGAGGCCTTGGATGGAAAATGCTGTCCACATCCAAAGAAAGAACTATGAAAGTCGAATCGCTATCACTTGTTTTTACCTTCTGTTGAGTTTTGTTTCATCTTTCTGATGGTTCCTCCTATTGGTTTTCATTTTTACTTACAACTTCACTAATGTGAAAATATGTTTAATGGGCATGTAAATGTAAAGCTTATATCAGATTGTGCGCCATCTCGGGGAGGGTGGGGGCGAAGAAAGGGGGAGAAAAATTTTCAACTCAAAAGCATATGGAAGTGATTGTTGATAAATCAAAATAAATTAATAAAATTTTAAAAAATAAAATAAAATAAAATGTCTTAAGTTATATTCTAATACAGAGATGTCAGGCAGCTGGCAGCAACACTATTAAGTGCTACCCAAGCCAGATTAAAATATAATTGGGAAACATTTAACAAAATAAATAAAAAATACAATAAAACATAGATAACATTATATTTTTAAACTAAGTCAGTATTAGGCCTGTAGGGATCTTTATGTACAGCTTAGTGGCCTTTTCTACTTTGACAGCACTATTCTCTATTACACATACCCCAAAGGCTCTTCTCCCTTTAAAAGGTTTCCCACTCTTCTCATAAGCTTTATCTCCTGTAGCATTTTTTGTTCTTACCTGATCCTTGAACAGAGTTGGAAATTATATAAATGGTGCCTGTTATTTTTCTCATCACAAGAGGGTGGGTCAATATCCTTTCACCTGAAAGGTTCAGAAAGAATTTGTTTCTAATCATTTATAATTAGTGTGATTAAGTTTCATTATCTCTGACTTTAGAATTGTCTCAATCCTTTTATAGCTGTTTTATGGGACTTAGAGGTTTCCACAGAAGAGGTAGTCAGTGAGACAACTACCTTTAATTGGCAAACTTTAATTCTCATAATGGAAGCAAGGGAAGTTGAGGCAAGCATCACAGACCCTAGAAAGGAAATAACCAGATCTCTGGAAGAACAGGATGTATCCATGACTCAGTCAGGAGCCCCAGATATTAAGGAGTAAGATCCAGGACTTTTTTTTTTAATGTGTACCTGTATCTCTGTGCAAATGGGTGAGAAAGATATATGGGGATTAAACTGTACATAGCACCAGGGAAAACTACTGACATTGATAACTCATTATAGTAACCAAACAAGAGAAAAACTGAAAATTAAATTATATTTAGGTTAATTGTTTACCATTTGTCTTACAACTATGTAATACAATAGCACAGATAATGATCAAAATTTACATTTATGTTGCATTTTAGGATTTGTAAAGAATTTTCCTTTTAACAGCTCCATGAGGTAGTGTAAATATTGTCATTATTACCCTTATGCTGAGTGGTTAAGCTAATTGCCTGTGACATATATCTGAAGGAGAATAAAAAGACCTGCCCAGTCTCCAAGTCCATCACATTTATAACTATGCCATACTATCATTTTATTAAATATGCTCTTGATGTTTTTTCCTTTGTTAGATTATCATGCTAAGTGCTGTCCAATCTTCCACGTTTATATAGCTCACGCAGCATGATCATCACAACTTTTAAAAATTAGAGAGAACATTTGTGATAAAAGAACCTTTCCAAATAGAGTATATAAGAAAGAAAGAAATCAGATCATCCCATAATGAATACATCTCTTTTTGTAATCCTCAGGTATTAAATATGAGATGAATATTTATTCATGGATGGGTCATGGAATCGGAAAATATGTTGCCTCAATGGCTATCTCAGGCCTCATTTTCCTTCTCATGCTTTCTCTCATTGAGAGCCAACTCTGGAAATTGAGAAATAAATTGAGCCGCTATATATTCTTTCGATGCTACAGAAACTGGTATGAGGTAAGTGACTAAGCATGTTATTTAGGAACATAACATTTTCTGTAAGATTTCTCACAGAACATGGAATTTTTCCTTCCATTGTACTGGCACCTGTATGGTATGTGTTAGCTGCCATCAAGTGGAAGGAGAGACTTACACATGTGTCAGCAGTCAGGGATTTCTCTGAGTAATCAACATACAACTATGACACTTTATAGTATCATAAAATCATTTCTTTAGAGCTGGGCAGGAACCTTGAACCCCTCATTTTTTCAGAAGAAAGAACAGAGGCAAAGTAAGTGGCCAGGGTAGGACTGGAACCTAGGTCCCCCAACTCCAAATCCATTGACCTTTCTGCCACACCATGCTGCATTCGACACATAAAAAAAACCTTTTATTCATTTACATCCAACTTTTTTATGCATTCAAATAGACATAATACTGACAACAAATAATGTTCATAGCTTGAAATAAAACATATAGATATATTAAGCTGACAATTTTCTATCCTGTTGTCCAAGACCATTCTTTTAGAAGCCAAGCTTTGTGCTCAAAGCCTTGATTGGCTGAAGATCTTTCATCAAAATGCCTTTCCACAAAAGCAAACATGAGAAGGAGGTGGGCGAAGAAACATGTAATGTTCTAAGTCTGTGGTCCCCCAGGAAGGAGAAAAATAGAAGATATCACAGAAGACTTGACCTTGGTCTGTTTTCTCACTCCTTTGGACCAGCATGGTGACTCACTCACATGTACTTTCTTTTATTACCCAACATTCCCTGAACTTCCATGGGGTATATGATATAAGAGTAGAGCCTGTAAAATCAAACCATGCACTTAATCAATGCTTATTGATTCATTTAAATATAAAGCTTATTTCTTATAATCATCCATTACCTGGGCAGGAAAGAGAACTTTCCTTTGAGACTCATTCTAAATTATGGAGCTCACTGGAGCTCTAGGGTGAAACCAGTAAAGAAGATTTTCCCAAATTCTTCCTACTTCAGTTCAGCATTCTCAGAGCTCCAGGTTATTTTGTTATTTTTATAAAAATTATTAGTGTGCCTATCATTTCCTATAAAGTTTCCATTTCTAGCAGAATAGGTATTACTTGGTCAAGGCAGCATCAGCCCAGTTTCCAGACCTGAAGGACAGTTTATTTTAAACCTCAGATCTGAGGTGATAGATGGGAAGTCTTCCTTACAGCCTTTTCAGAGTTTCCCATCAGCAGCAGCATTAACAACAAGCATTTATTAAGCTCTTATTATGTGCAAGATATTATGCTAATTATTTGGGATACATAAAAAGGTACAAACATAATCTCTGTCTTCAAGGAAATCAATTCTAAAGGGAAAGACAATAAGCAAACAATTATGTAAAAATGTTGGAGGGATTGTGGGAAAGATGAGACAGGAAGCATAAGGTGGAATTTGAGCTGAGTCTTGGAGGAAGCTAGAGAGACTGAAAGGAGGAAAGGAGGAGGGGATAGTATTCCAAGCATGAAGAGAATAGTCAGTGAAAAGATATGGAGCCAGGAGATGAGTGTTGTGGGTGAGGAACAGCAAGAAAGCCAGTGCTGCTGGATAAGGGAATACGTGAAGAAGAGCAAAGTGTAAGAACACTGGAAAAGTAGGAAGGGCCCAAGTTGTGAAGGACTTCAAAAGTCAAACAGGATTTTATGTTTGATCTTACAGGTAACAGAGAGCCACGGAAGTTTATTGAGTAGGGAGGTTATGGTCTTTCCTAAAGGGAGGTCGCAACTGGCAGCTGGGTGGAGGAAAGATTCGAGTGAGCAAAGACTTGAGGCAGTAAGACCACCCAACAGCTATTTCTTTAGTCCAGGTATGAAGCAACTGGAAGAGAGAATGGTGCTTGGGGAAAGATAGAAAGAGTTCTGTTTGGACATGTTGATTTTGAGATGCCTACAGGGCATCTAGATCTAGGTGTTGTTGGTGACGAAAGATGGGAGGTGAGGACTGGATAAATAGATATAGAATCATCAGCATGGAAATGATCATTTTAATCCATGGAAGGCAATCAGCTAAAAAAAGCTAGGTTATATAGAGGAAGAAAAGAGAGGACCCAGGATAGACCCTTGAGGGATACCTAAGGGTTAACAGGTGTGACCTAGAAAAGGGGATCCAGCAAAAGCCTGAGAAGGTGTGGTCAGACAGGTAGGAAGTGAACTAGAAGGGAGCACTGTCACCAAAACCTAAAGAGAGAGGTACTCAGGAGAAGAGAGTGATTAACAGTTACAGAAGATGGAGAGATCAAGAAGGAAGAGGATTGAGAAATGGCCACTAGGTTTGTCAGTAAGAGATCATTGGTAACTTTGAAAGTAGCAGTTTCAAATGAATGACATTGGAAGCCAGAATTCACAGGGTTCAGAAGAGAGTGAGAAATGAGCAGTTCCAGCGGCATCCGGTGAGCTCTTGCAGGCCCCAGAAAATCCGGGGGACAGGGTGTAAATCTCATGCTGGGCGGTACCAGCGTCCATGGCCCGTGAACGCTTCTAGGATGTCGCAACAATGTAGGTAATTTGGCCCTAAGGGCTGGAATGTCGGGCTGAGGATGCAGGCCGGGCTAGGAGCGTGCCGTGGATGGACGGGGCGCAGCAGCTCCACCTCAGGGGTCTTTTCCCTCAGTTCCCCTGGCCGCTTCCATGACACCCAGCGCTGGCCGAACCCAGGCAGCAGTGAAACAGGGTGTGTGTGGGGAGAGGGGAACCCTTGAAGGCGCTGGTCTCGCCCACCTCTCCCCCTCTCCTCCCAGCTACTCTCCTACCCACACCCATCCCAGCCGGGGTGGGGGGTGAGGGGGGGGGGGAGCCGGGAAGAAATCAGAGCCAGGGGCTCCAAGTTGCGGGGTCGCCCTTCCGAACGGGCGGTCTGTGCAGTCAGGACCCAGGATTTGGGGTGAGCCGATCCCTTCCAGTGGATCGCCCCCACTGTAGCAGGCTTATTGGCCAGGCCCGAAGAGCCCAAGGGCAAGGTGTCTCCCCTGAAAGTGCACGCGGTTCCCCCAGCAACCCCAAGCCGGGCAGCGGCCACCCTCCGGACCCACACAGCGGCAGTTGGGCTGGTTTGGGTGGCACAGTGGATAGAGACCTGTTCCAGGAGTTCGGGAGACTTGAGTTCAAATTCGACCTCAGACACGTAATAGCTGTGTGACTCTGGGCAAGTCACTTAACCCTCAGTTTCCTCATCTATAAAATTATCTGGAGAAGGCAATGGCAAACCACTCCAGTATCTCTGCCAAAAAAAATACCAAATGGGGCAGGAAAAGTCGGACATGACTAAAAAACTACTGAACAAGAGAGGAGAGGAATTGGAGCTTATGATTTAAAAGGATTTCTCAAGGAGTTTAGTCAAGAAGTGAAAGATATATGATGATAGCTAGCAGGATTGGTTCAATCAGGTGAGGGGTTTTTTTTTTCTTTTAAGGGTGGGAGAAATGTGGGTATATTTATAGGTAGATGAGAAGCAGGCGGTGGATATAGAGACCGAAAATTAGTAAATGGAGTGGGGCAATCTGCTAAGAGAAGACAGGATGGATTGATATCCAGGATGCATTGATATCCAGGATGCATGTAGAAGGATTTGTCTTAGGGAAAAAGGGCCATCTCTTCCTGTGAGATGGTAATGAAGGAAAAAATAGTAGTGGAAGACCACTAAGTGATGTGAGATGAGCAGAAAGAAAGCTCTCAACAAATGGCCTTAATTTTTTCAGCAAAATATGAAGCAGTCTTCGGAGAATGGGGAGGAGCATGTACCACAGGTGACTTAAGGAAGTATAAAAAGGTTTAGAATAGTCTTCCTGGTGATAGGATAGCGAATCAATTAGGAAGCAATAAAAGGATTGTATTGCTACAGTGAGGGCCCAGTTGAGATTTTTTCATGATTTTCTCCAGTGCCATTTAGTTGCATAGTAGCAAAGATTGGGGTTTGGCAAGGCATGATCAGTGATAGAACAAAGGGGCAGGATAGTGGAGTATAAAAAATAATGAATACTTGAACTGGATGACTGAGGGGTCAGAGTGGTCAGGGGAGGAAAGCATAGCTCTTGTAAAGGTGATGGTCTGAGAAAGAACTTAGAGGGTAGAAGGATTGGAGATCATGGTGAGAATAAACTGGGAAACACAGAATGATAAAAGATTATGATCAGATAAAGGAACTTCAGAGTTATGAAATTTACGGATGATGGTATGGTTAAGGGTATGAACATTTCTATATGCAGCTAAGGTGGGATGGAAGAATAAGTAATGAGAAACTGAAATTAGCAAGTTTAGGGGGAGTATCATTAAGCCTCAAGGCACTGAATTCATTGAGGAAGGAAGTAGAGATCAGTGGTGTGGAGAAATAGATCACAGGAAATGAGTAGATTGAAAAACTGGGAAGCTAGGGTGTTTGAAGGATGATCAGTATGTAAGTTGATACATCTATGTTAGCATCTTCATGTATGTCTCTCTTTCTGCCCTTTCCTATAACTGTCCCCCACCAGCTAACTTTGGCCAAGATCCCTAAAAGACATCCACATCTTTTGTTCCTTGTCTTTGGAATGTAGACACTAGAGATGAATGCAGAAACAGAGCCACCAGAGGATACTGATGTGTCAAATGAGAGGAAAAAAATTCAAGACTATCCTGAAGAAACAATTCCACTCGTAGAGAGTCCACTGATTCTTCAAGACCTAATGAAGGTAAAACTAGTCAGTGGTCAAAGTTGTCCTGGGCTTTATTAACCAGGGGCATAAAAGATGCATGTCAATATAGCAGATGTTTGAGATCTGCATCTGTTCTCCCTTTTGGGTAGAGAAGTAGACTATGCAAAAAAGGAAAACCTTTTTTGTACCCACCTTTGAAAGTGGAAAGTGGAAGACTACTGGTCTGTAGTTGCTGTTCTTGATTTAGAGGCATTATTTCTTCAGTATTATATTCTCTGGGTTTTCTCAGGTATATTATCGGTGGATGCCCATCCTGGCTGTGGACAGTATCTCCTTTGCAGTCATGAAAGGAGAATGCTTTGGGCTACTTGGTTTCAATGGAGCTGGGAAAACCACCACATTCAAAATGTTAACTGGGGATGAAACTATAACCAGTGGGGATGCATATTTTGATGGCCATAGGATCAACAAGAATATCAAAACGGTAAGATACTACTACTAGGATCCAAAGTGAAATGATTTCCTGAGATATATGGGGTTGGAAACCACAATGGAAGATCTGGGTTCATAAGAAGAAGGTACTTGGGGTGCTTATGGAAACAGTTAAGCAAAGATATGTTGATAAAATAAAAGTAACCTCTAAATAGAGTGTATCTTCTTGAGCCTCCTGGAGTAGGGGGGAGAAAAAGAGGCAGAACCACTGTATCCCTCATAGAGAAACATCTGCAGCATAACTGTATCCCTCATAGAGAAACATCTGCAGCATAGGTAACAGACCTCACAGTGTAGTGTCTGAAATTCAGGCAGATGTGGCTGCTAAATTATTAATGTTGGTTACTGAAAAAAGTGATAAAGGGTTGTATGACAATAACTTTCAGTATGCAGCTTGAGCTTAAAGGTCTCATATGATCAAAATGTTCTATTTTAGGCCACCTGGAGGTATATGTGTGAAAATATTCTGTGATAACCAGGCTGGTGAGCTCCCTATGTCTCCAAATTTTTTTCCTGGAATAATCAATCCCCTCCTTTCCAGCTAACCAGATCTTACCTACACTTGAAAATATGTTACAAGGGATCTCAGATGTCATTTATCTAATTAAATCTGTATCCAGTACATCTATCCACCACGAAGTCATCTCCCTTCTGCTTAATCATTTCCCTTTGATGTCCCATTAGCTAATGAGACAAATGCTTCCATTTTCAGACAGCTCAACTTATTAGAAATTTCTTCCTTATATAGAAAAATTGGGCAGGACTTTCAAAGCCTGTCTTTTTACCACTAATATTCTTCCATTAATGTCATATGGCTTCAAATCACGAGACAAGTTAGTCTTCAAAGATCAAAACGGCAGGTGTGGGGGCAGCTAGGTGACACAGTAGATAGAGTATCGGCCCTGATGTCAGGAGGACCTGAGTTCAAATCTGGCCTCAGACATATAACACTTACTAGCTGTATGACCCTGGGCAAGTCACTTAACCCAAATTGCCAAAAAAAATGGCAGGTGACCCAAAGGGTAATGGAAGGACACATGGTAGGTGAATGTAGGCTACAATATATTAACAAAGATGACTTTTATGCATGAAGTGGTATAGAAGACAATCTTGAGTGGAAAAGAGAGTAGGTTTGTCACGTGTAAGAAGATAAAACAGCAAGGTAGTTTGGGTTGCACTGATCTGTACAAAATATTAAAATAACCAGAGGAAGCAGTATCTAGTAATTTTGATAGTTTCTATTAGAGGATTTATATAAGGATATGGGCAAGAATCAAACAGGATGTCAAGGTATGTATGGGTGTCATTCTACATGGAAAAACAGTACTCATACCAACGAGACCACAAATCCATAAGAGGATGAAGTATATAAATATATAGGTGTACTCAGGTCAGGTCAGTACTAATAGATGGCGCCAACATAGAGTATTTTAAAAGTAAAACCATAGCACCTTTATTACCTTAATGAGCCCCATGTGTACCAGTAAGGACCTATTCTCCAAGCTGATCAAGAATGGAGATCCTTGGGGGCAGCTAGGTGGCACAGTGGATAGAGAACCAGCCCTGGATTCAGGAGGACTTGAGTTCAAATCTGGCCTCAGACATATAACACTTACTAGCTGTGTGACCCTGGGCAAGTCACTTAACCCCCATTGCCAAAAAAAAAAAAAGAATGGAGACCCTTGTCCATGAGTTCCACTTATATGATTTAAGTCTCTTTCCTAATTTACTTACTCCATAACCTCTAATTACCCATAATGAACTTTATGTCAACATAGCTCCAAATGTCTTAAGTTCACCAAACAATTCAGTTCAGTGAGCATTTATTAAGTACTTGTGTGCAAGCCACTATGCCAGACACTAGAGAAAAACCAAACAAACAGCAGCAAAAAAAACAAACAGTCCCCTCCTCCCCATCCCCCTCACAACGAGTTTATATTATCCAGGAGTGGGAGTGGGAAATACAACATGTACTCAACTCAAGCAATACATACGTGTGACTAGTGCCTTCCAATGTTGCAAATTTTAACCTATCTTTGTCTGGTTTTCCTTTGTGACTATTGTATGTAGTCATATATGTGTATGTGTATGTGTGTGTGTGTATGTGTGTATATATATGTATGTATGTATATGTGTGTGTGAAAAAATATATTTTTTTAATATATATTTCAATCCATACTTGGATTCACTCCACATATACAATCCATTAAAAAACCTTGTCATTTCTACCTTCATAACATGTCCCTTTCTCTCTATTCACATAGTTACTATGTAGTTCAGATCCTTATCACCTCTTACTGGGACTATCACAAGAGCCCTCGATATATATAGACTTCCATAAGTCTGCCACAGGAGATCTATCTAAACAATATGTATACAGATAAACAAATTAAAATAATTTACAGAAAGAAAGGGAGTTAATTGTTAATTCTCCTTCATGTCAAACCAGTTGGTGCTATGCTAAGCTATTCCTGACCTCAGTCCCCCAAAACGATCATATTATTGGGGTAATCTGTTTAGACTTAATCAAGTAGAGTAAGAGATGGCCTTTTCTGTAGCCAAAATCCATTTTTCTGTAATTTTAACATATTACCAGTTCTGCTTTCTGGAGCCACAAAAAAAAAATAAGTTTAAAATGCCCCACCCTTCTTCCATGCAATATACATTTACATACTTAAAGACAGCTATTCTCTTCCCCCTAACTCTACTTTAGGCTATGAATTTCCAGTTCATAAAATCTTCAAGTTGGAAAGGACATTGAAAGTCATCTAATCTGCCCAATGCATAATCTTTACCATTTCCCAGTAGATGTTCATGCACTCTCTGCTTGAACATCCTGAAGGACAAGGAGCTTACTGGGGCTCAGTGGAGCCCATTTTTGGACTTCTCCTTATTCAGAAAGTTTTTTGAATTGAAATTTGCTTCTCTGTAACTTCTGCCTATTGTTCCTATTTCTGCCTTCCCAGAAAGAATATCTAATCCCTCTTCCATAAAAAGCCCTTCAGCTGTTTGAAAATGACTGTCCTACACTGCCCTTTCCCACCACTATCCCCACCAAAGTTTTCTTTTCTCAGATTAATATGGCTGGTTCACAGAGTCTTGGAAGGGACTGTAGAAGGCTAAATCTTCCACATAATATATGATTCTCCTTTTACAGAATCCCTGACATTTCTCTAGAATGTGTTTAAATACCTCTGAAAATGAGAACTTATTTACAGTTTCATTTTATACAGTTCTATCAGTGATGAAGGAAATGCACTCATCTTTGCATACAGATTGAAATCCCCAAAAGTATGAGTGATTGGTAAAGAGTAAGCTTCTAGAGTACAGATAGTATTTTGTTTCTGCGTTTGTAGTTCCAGCATTTGGAAAGGTATGTAGTAGGTGCTTCATAATTAACATGGTCTGCAGGAAAGTTTAAACAAGATTTGATGAAAATGAGATCACCAACACATAGTGAAATCAGAAATATGAGTGTGATTGCCAGGGATGGTAGAATAGAGGGAGTGTGAATATATAGTTACATAATCAAAATTTGCTTCTATAATCAAAAAACTGAGCTATATCTTCACCAGACGATATCCGATGATGCCTGTGAGGGCAGACAGCCTTGATAGTAAAAATAATTTTAAAATATCCTGACTCTAGTGATCTGACTTTAATATGTCACTCAGTCAATAACGCAGGCAAAGATCAGGCCTCAGCTAACCTGGAGCAGGCCTCAGAGGACTGAATCATGGGCAGGTGTGGCAGTTTCCAGACTTCTCAACCCACAAACACCAAAGACGACTTCCAAGGTCAGTAGGAAAAGTCTGTGACCTCAGTGAGAGAGAAGCTAGATCCCAGCCCCAGTCCTGGCACAGCCTCAGGGCGGCAGCTGTTTCCAGAGCTCTCGGCCCCCAGACAGAGGGGAAAATTGAGTGGCTGATCAGAGGAGGATTGCAGGGATCTCTTTGCTGGTGGTGAGGAAGGATTCTCTTGCTTTGCCTGTGGCTGGATCTGGGTTGCAGTGCTGGGGTGGCAGTCCTGGGGCAAGGAGGAGTGCTGGCATGGTGGAGCTTGTAGTGGCACTGGAGAGAGAATCCTCCTCACAGTTCCAAGGCAGAAAAGAGTGCTTGTGGTCACTTATAGACCAGAGCCCAGGCCAGGAAAGGAGTAAAAAAAGTATCTCTGAAAACAGCTGCACAAAACCCCTGAAGCTTGGGGCAGTACATTCTCCACAATGGAAGAAGACCCCTACCTTAACAAAGAGTTTATAACTCAAGTAACTGGCTGGGATCATGAACAAACTGTGCAAAAAAGTCAGGCCACAGAATCTTTCTTTGGTGACAAAGAAGATCAAAACACACAACCAGAAGAAGACAGCAAAGTCAAAACTCCCACATCCAAAGCTTGCAAGAAAAATATGAATCAGCCCCAGGCCATGGAAGAGCTCAAAAAGGATTTTGAGAAGCAGGTAAGAGAAGAAGAGGAAAAACTGGGAAGAGAAATGAGAGTGATGCGAGAAAATCATGAAAAGCAAGTCAACAGCTTGCTAAAGGAGACCCAAAAAATACTGAAGAAAATAACACCTTAAAAAAATAGCCTAACCCAAATAGCAAAAGAGGTCCAAAAAGCCAATGAGGAGAAAAATGCCTTAAAAAGCAGAACTGGACAAATGGAAAAGGAAGTCCAAAAGATCACTGAAGGAAATACTTCCTTAAAAATTAGAATGGAGCAAATAGAAGCTAGCGACTTTATGAGAAATCAAGATATTGTAAAACAAAACCAAAAGAAAGGTCTTAATAGTGGATAGAGCATCGGCCCTGAAGTCAGGAGGACCTGAGTTCAAATCCAGCCTCAGACCAAACACTTGACACTTACTAGCTGTGTGACCTTGGGCAAGTCACTTAACCCCAATTGCCCAAAAAACAAAAAAAGAGATCTAAATAGCCTCTCACTGTGAGAAGTAGTTTCTGTGCAAACAGAAAATGTCTTGTGTTTTAAAGCCTAAAAATAATTGACAGAAATATGTGTATATTTTAATGTACATTTGATAGTCCTACAAATAGGATGATAAATAAAATTGGCTCTTGGACTTTAAAGTTTCGGATTAATTGTATCTAAAAGGCTACAAGGATTTTATTAATTTATACATTTAGGTCCTTCCTATAAGCTAAAGATATCTGTCCCACCATAATGACAATAGCAGTTTACCAAGACTTGATTTGGTCCTAAATTCGTATCATAGCTTGAAAACAGTAGGGTCTACAAAAAAGTTGTACAATTTTATTGGCAAAAACATTTCTACCTTTTCCCTTTTGTCAGTACCACTCTATCCATCACTTTCCAAGACTCAGCATGGGAAGCACATCCCAGAAAAGATTAAAATCATGGACTTGATACAATGGGTAATGATTTTATATCATTTGGTTTCATTATTGCTTTGTTTGAAATATTTCCATTTCTGGAGGGGAAATTGTTGCAAATGTACAACAGAAACCTAGAAAGGCTAGGCACTTGTCTAACAAAGTCCTGTGCCTGCTACTAAGATATAATTCCTGCCCAAATATTATTTGCAGTATGACCTAAATGTAAATTTTGATAAATTGTTATTTAGCCATTATGTCATTGTTTTATTTTTGTGATTGCTCATTTGTATTGTAAATATTTGATTTGGTATAATGAAAAGATATGATCTATCAATATGAACTAAATAACTAAGCTAGAATTTTTTTTTAAATTGAGTTGTAATCTTTTAGAAAAACTTTCTTTTTCTAATGGGTACAAAATAAGGATTTTTAAATTTTTTGAAAAATTGTATTGATAAATGTTCTTTATTTCACCTACATTTCCCAACATATTTCCATCCTTCTCTTCTTCTCTCCCTGAGAGCAATTCTTTGTAACAAAGAATTTTAAAAGGGAAAAATAGTTCATTAAGACTAACATACTGCATATCTAAAAAGTTAGACAACAGTGTCCCATGTCAATAGTTTCCCTAACTTCTGCAAAAGAAATGGGAGAAAGATGCTTTTCATATGTCTTGATCATTTTAATTTTGCAGCATTCAGTTTTGATTGATTTGTTCTTGTCATTTACATTGTAGTAGGCACTGAGTATATTTTTTTTCCTTGATTCTGCTTTCTTTACTTGGTATAAGACGTCTTTCCACAGTTTTATGTATTCATCATATTTATTATTTCTTACAACACAATAATATTATGTTATACTCATATACCATAACTTATTTAGCCATTTCCTAATCAGTAATTATGTACTTTAGTTCCACTTCTTTGCTATTACGAAAGAGCTGCTATAAATACTTTTTTGTATGTGGGGCCTTTCTTTTTGCCATTAACCTTCTTGAGGTATATGCTTATCATTGTAATCTCTGGGTCAAATAGAAAGATGGCTATTTAGTGATCATATTACCATACTAATATAAAGCAAGCCTTATACCCACTAGCATTTATGTTAACTTAAGAGACAATTTCACCCTCGTTTAATTGCAAGCATTGGAAATGGCTATATGAGGTGAAATCTTTTGGAATGGCAAATTTGACTAGTATATTGTCTAGACCTCACTTTGATCGTGGAAAGAAAAAAGTGGTTATTAACTCATTAGAGTCCAAATAGAATATTGGGCCTGGAATCAGTAAGATCTGCATTCAAATCTTACCTTAGACACTTATTAATTCTGTGATCCTAAGCAAATCCCTTCAACTCTCAATGTTTCTCCTTCAGTCATCTCCTTTTCTCCCGTGGGTTCAAGTATCATCTCCACACAGATCTCTTCAATACCTATGTGACTAGCCCTCATCTTGCTCCTCAACTTCTGTCTTACATCACAAACTGCCTACTGGAAATCATCTGGTAATATCCCAAATTTAATACATCCAATCCAAAGCCAGTTAATTTAATTTAGGGAGCTAAACATACTGTTCCACTAAACTCCTTTCTCTCTGTGAAACCTTCCAGTTCCCCAGATTCACCATCTTAGAATAATCTTTGATTTGTCCCTTTCCCACACTCCCACATACAATCATTTAACAATGTTTTAAAAATTTTCCCTCTGTCATCTCTGACATCACTTCTCTCAGCCATCATAGAGCCACTACACAACTTCAAGTTCTCATCCCTTTCAGTGATATGCTTAGCCTCGTATTTGAGGCTCTCAACCATCTGGGACCAACTTATTCTTTTCAGCCTTATTCAGTACTATTTCACCTACACTGTTGCCCTAACCAAACTAGATTACAAGATATTTCACAAACTCCACATTCCATTTTCTACCATTCTGCATCCTTACAGGCCACCCCCAAGCCTGGTATGTCCTCCCTCGTCTCTGTCTTTCAGAATCCTTATCACAGACACATTGATATTGCTGTTCAAAAACACCAGACACCCACAGCCACATTGCTGCACTATGTCCTCTCTTTTCCTACTCCAAAAATAACCGGCCCTGAAAAAAGTGTGATGAGCCAAAGAAACCCTGCTTCTACAATCCGATTGCAGGCAGCTTCATCACGAAGAAGAGTGGCTAGTACAGTCCCAAGGACTTTTTTTCCCCACAGCTGCTGCCCTATCACCTTCATAACTCAACTGTCCTGTCATCCTTATTGGGCCACATATTTTATTTCTTATGTATTCCCCCACAGCACTGAGCATAGCAAGTGTTCAGGAATTGGTTGAATCAAATCCAGGTAAAAAGGTCCACAGGACCAGTTTATTCCAGTAGGTTCCAGCTGCAGAGAACCTGATATTAGCAGGGATATTGTAGGGGGAAAAAATATCATTAATTAGAGATACCAACCAGTAGAAGGAACTCTATGTCCTGTATATAGAGAACAAGTACCCAGAGAAAAAGCATTTTTTTTCAGTCTCACCCTTTGACTGAAACCATTTCTTGGAGCATTGAACTCTTATTTCAGGTACAGCGACAAATCAGTTACTGTCCTCAATTTGATGCCCTGCTAGACTACATGACAGGAAGAGAAATAATGTATATGTATGCTCGATTGTGGGGGATTCCTGAAAATCACATCGATCGTTATATGAAAAACATGCTGAGGTCATTGCTCCTTGAATCCAATGCAGACAAGCTCATTAAGAACCTAAGGTGAGATGCTGTCCTTCTCTAGTCCTTCTTTTCTGTAACTATAACCCTTAGAAGCAGAATCAGAAGGGAGCAGGAGATTCCTAATCAATAGGCTTAGGATATTATCATACAGACTTTGTCACCATCACAAAGTCAAATCTTCCACCAGAAACTCCATGACAGCAGAGAGGCAGTAGAGATGGATCCTTAGGGACTTGATCAGAAACTGCTGTTTTAACTTTGCTCTCCACTGATTGGCCCCTGCTAGAAACAACAGATCCATCTCAGATCCTAGCTGTTATTGATGATTCTGATGCTATGATCAGGGTTCCTTCCTTGAACATACTTCCTTGTTGACCTGGAGTATAGAAGAAAAGGATGTTAGCATCATAGCTTAAGTGGCTCAGACCCTGTCCTAATGCCTTTCGTGATACTTAGAGACAATGACTATGCTGAAGGAGCAATCAGCCAAAAAGTCTGTTGTGACCCAAGTGCCAGCAGTAGGGATGATCTGGGTTGCCTACATAGATAAAACATATATAAATTTAGTGCCACAGATCCTACTGCCCAGGGCCAGGTAAGAGGACATGAGTCCCTTCTTGGGCATATATTGAAAATATCTTTAAATGAAAAATCTGCATTGGGATTTGTTACCTTTCTTTAGATTCACAATATTTGTCAGTGTGCTACTTAGGACTTTGATTATCTTTGAATTATTTTCTATAAATTACTGCTGTTTACAGCCTCTTTTTCCTTCTTTATTTGCTTCCTTCTTCATGAAGTGGTGGCAACAGGCGTAAGCTGAGCACTGGTATTTCCCTAATTGGAAGGCCTTCAGTCATCTTCTTGGATGAGCCTTCTACTGGCATGGACCCTGTGGCTCGGCACCTACTCTGGGACACAGTGATGCGGATTTGTGAGTCCGGCAAGGCCATTGTCATAACCTCCCATAGGTGTGGCCCGAAGCTTGGTCAGGGATGTGGGGGGAATATAGTAGGGACTGCAGGGCTTTGTTAGGACTGGCAACTGAAATCAGTAACTCTGAGTCTTAGAGCTTCCTGGGAACAAGGCCTCCCAGTGGCTAATTTTGCCAAAGAGAACATCCTAGAATCCCTTAGCTATTGGCTACTTGGGTGAGGTCTTTGGAACCCTTAGAATTTAGAGTGGAAAGATAGAGGGAGGCTGATAGATGAAAGCTCCCACAGTGATTTTGGGCATCTGCTTCTATTATATACTAAACACGTTGAGTTTCCTCAAAATGAGGGGACTGGACTAGATCTCTAAAATCCTTAAATAAAATCTCCATAAATTCTGTAATCCTATGACCCTTTGATCTTTTCTATTCCCCAGATATAAGCTGGGCCCTGAGCACTTACAATACCAGGACAGGCCTCTCCAGGGATGGTATACAAAATCTTAGCTTTATCTAGACCATAGCCTTTACCTTACAAGGAGGGACATCTCCAGCCCTGGTCATTTGTCTCCCCAGCATGGAGGAATGCGAGGCCTTGTGCACCAGACTGGCCATCATGGTAGCTGGGAAGCTGAAGTGTCTAGGAAGTCCACAGTATCTCAAGAACAAGTTTGGCAGTGGATATACCTTGATGGCCAAAATGAAGAATGATAGTACAGACGCTGATATGGAACAATTCAAGGACTTCATCAGTTTAACCTTTCCAGGTATGACAGCTTGAGTAGAAACCTTCCCAGGTTAGCCCTTAGTGATACATGTTATTGCCCTGTTCTATGATGAAAAAGCAAAGCTCCTTGGTGATATTCTTACCAATCCCTCTTAGACATCAACTAATTATTGTTTTTAAGGTTTCCTTCTGCCAACTAGCTTTGCAAGACCCTCATGCCCCCCCTTTTTTTTTTTTGCCTTTTTGGTGAGACATTTGAGGTTAAGTGACTTGCCTAGAGTCACACAGCTAGTAAGTGTCAAGTGTCTGAGGCTGGATTTGAACTCAGGTCCTCCTGACTCTAGGACTGGTGCTCTATCCACTGTACCACCTAGCTGCCCCTCCTCTTTTATCTTCTTAAACAAAGAGCCTGTAGGTCATGGGTATGAAAAAAATTAGATGATTTATGCACCAACATACTAATCTCTTATATTATGGCATATCACAGTGTTCTACTCATGTAGCAGGAAACAGAATCATGCACTAGTCTATATGTAAGACTTTCGAGATTGAATGGGAAAAGTGACAAATAAGTTTTGGTGTGGATAAAGTAAAGGGAATAAATCGTTCTAGGGAAAAATAATCCAAACTATATTTTATAGGATAATGGTATTTAACATAAAAGATACTGCTATTGTTTATGATCCAGTTATTATAGACCCTGGGAATCACTATAGAACCAACACTAAAAAAGGTACTTAAAACCAAAACAGAGGGAAGACAGCCTTATATAAAAGATGGCTAGTTATGACATAGTTATACTTTTGTGTAGATCTGCTCTCTTGCTCCTGACCTTGAGATACCGTTTCTAGCCTCTTTTTCTAGACATTCTTCACCTATTCTCTTATACTTGTTTTGGACCCTGGGCCATGCCCTTTGTCTGACACCACTTTTATTGGCAGTCCTCTACCTCTTTCTGAATCTCTGATCACCCATGCTGGCCTGCCTGGTCAGTTCTACACTTTCTATCCTGTCTATACCTTGATCTTACATACCAGATTCTGGTCTCAATGTCATCCCCTGGAATAAATATACTTACACAACTCCCGGCATGTACAGTAATGGAACCTAAATAAGTGACCACTTGCCCATATACTACACTATCTGCCCTGCCAGTGGACTGGCTTCAATAAGCTACTTTCATGGCCTTTTCTGGTCTACCTTGTACTTCTGCTACCCACAACCTAACACTGAGAAGCAGGTAGAAAACCAGTGTCATTAATTACTTCTCCTCCAAGAGGTGGTTTAGGATAAAATGCCATTCAATTCAACAAACATTTATTAAGTGTATGCTTTATGTGCAAATCACTTAGGTGAATGGAAAACCAAGACAAAATAGTCCCTGCCCTTCTAGTTGAGTCTCAAATGGTAGAGTCCTGGTAGAACATGAGGACAAATTTTAGGTATAATACAAAGTAATTTCAGGAGTGAGAAAGCTAATAAAGAAGGGGGCCGAGACTTCACTGGAGGGAGGTGAGCTAAGGGGTAGTATCTAAGCTGAAGCTTGAAGGAAGATCAGGATTGTGAGAGGTGAAAATTAAGAACCATTCCAGACACAGCAGATGGTCCTTATAAATACTCCAGTGTGGGAGGCAGAATGTTGAGTTCAGAGAACTGCTGGGAGTGAAATTGGGCTGGAATATGGAGTTTATAAAAGGGAGTAGCATGAAATAAGATTGCAGGTAGATAGAGTAGATGTTTTGGGCAGCTATGTAAATGGTGATTAGAGAGGTAAAAGATTAGAAGCAGGGAAACCAGTTAGGATGCTGTTACAATAGTCCATATGAGAGACAATGAGGACCCAAACTAGGATTACACCTACATGGGTAGAGAGGAAAAGATGGAGGTGAGAGATGTGGTGGCAGAAGAATTAGCTGGGCATCTAAGTGGTGAAGTGGATAGAATGCCAGGCTTAGAGTCAGAAAGACTCATCTTACTGAGTTCAAATCTGGCCTCAGACATTTACTAGCTGTATGGCCTTGGGCAAGTCATTTAAATCCTGTTTGACTCTGTTTTCTCATCTGGAAAATAAGCTGTCCAGTCTATCACTAATCAAAGTCTTGTTTGATAGATGTGGGGAGTGTATGCATGTATTAATTCTAAGATACACATAATAAGGAGTCCAGGATGCAGATAATGAGGTAGAGAGTTGGTGTAGATAGTTTGGTGGGTACCAAATATCTTTATGAGCCAGTACAGGGCCAGTTCAAACTAATAATTCCTACAGGTGCAGTTTGTTACTGTACCAGGGAGAGAGATAAGTGTTTTGCTGGGGCCCACTCATGAATAATTGCTAGGTACAGTGTCCTTGGGCTAGGGAGAAACTGCCAGAGATAGTGTTTTGAGGATAGAGAGAAATATAGTCTTGGAATTGGGGTCTGAGCACAGTTACCCAAGCACCCCATCACTGGACATGTTGCCTCTCAATGTAGTCTAAAATTGTATTAGCTTTTTTTGACACTCACAGTCACTCATTCATTCAGTCAACAAGCCCTGGGGATACAAAGAAACGCCAAAACATAGTCCTTGCTCTTGTGGAACTCCCATTGTAATGGAAGAGACTATCTGCAAATAGTCATACAAATACAAGGTATATTCACTGTAAATAGTTGATTTTGGAGGGAAGGGACTGGGAGTGGGGGAAGAAAGGCCTTTTGTACAAGACAGGATTTGAGCTGAGTCTTGAATGAAGTCAGGGAAGCTAGGAGTTGAATATGAAGAGAAAGAGCCTTCCATCCATGAAGCACAGCCAGTGAAAAGGCATAGCTGGAAATGTGTGGGGAGCACCAAGCAGGCCAGCTGAAGGTGGGTCATCATTTGTGGAAGGGAGTAAAGTGCAAGAAGAAGCCAGGCTGTGGATGACTTTAAATGCTGAACAGAAAATCTTACATGTAATCTTGCAGATAAAAGTGAGCTACTGGAGTTTATTGAGTAGAGAGGTGACATGGTTAGACTTATACTTTAAGAAAATCACTTTGGCAGCTGAGTGAAAGATGGATTATAGTGAGGAGACAGCCAAGGCAGGGGGACTAACTAGCAAGCTTTTCAACAGTCAGGCAAGAAGTGATGACAGCCTGGGCAAGGTCAGTGATCGTGTGACTGGAGAAAAGAGGACATGGAACAGGGAGGTTGTGAAGGTAAAAACAAGATCTTAGAGCTGATTGGATATGTGGAATGAGCACTAGTTAGAAGACAGTACTAAGGTTGCAAGCCTGTGTGATTTGGAGGATGACTGTTTGCTAGACAGTATTAAAGAAGTTGGGAAGAGGGGCACAGTTTGAGAGGAAAGATGATAAGGTTTGTTTTGAATATGTTGAATTTGAGGGGCTTACTTGACATCCAATTTGAGATAGTCAAAAGGTAGTTGGTAATGCATGACTGTAACTCAGGAAGGAGATTAGGCCTAGATATATAGACCTAGAGATGGTGGTTGAACCATGGAAACTGATGAGATCACCAAGTGAGAGAGTATACAGGGAAAAGTGAAGAGGGCCCAGGACAGAGCCTTGGGGGAGACTCATAGTTAGTGGACATGGTCTGAACAAGGATCCATCAAAAAAAAAAAAAAGATTGAAAAGGAGCAGGCAGATAGGAGGAGAATGAGGAGAGAAAAGTGTCAATAAAACCTAGAGAAGAGAGAGTATCCAAGAAAAAATGATTGGCAGTGTCAAAGGCTACAGATTTAGCAATTAAGAAGTCATTGGCAAGTTTGGAGATATTAGTTTCAGTAGAATGATAAGGTCAAAAATCCGATTGCAGAAGATTTAAAAGCAAGTGATAGGAGAGGAAGAAGAGGCTTTCTCAAAGAGTTTAGTCAAGGAGAGAAGTATGATATAATAGCTAGTGGTGATGGTTAGAGCATGTAAATATTTTTTAAAGGTGTGGGAGTGGGGAGAGACATAAACATACTTGTACCAAAGATTAGAGAGAATGGGGATGATAATAGGGACAATTAGCTGGATAAGAAGGAAAGGGATAGGTTGGGAAAGATTAATATGGGGAGAAGAGGTTGGCTGTGGCAAGGAGAAAAGCCACCTCTTCATATGAGATAGTAGAGGGAGATTTCTGAATAATGTAAGAATAGGAGATGAAAAGCAGGAGCTCTTGTCAGTAGCCTCAATTTTTTTTCAGGGAAGGATAAAGTGAGATCTTCAACTGAGAGGGCAGAGAGAATGGAATAAAAAGGTTTGGAATGGAGGCAGCTAGGTGGCACAGCAGATAGAGCACTGGGCCTGGAGTCAGCAGGACCTGAGTTCAAAACCCACCTCCGACCAGACATTGGACACTAGCTATGTGACCCTGGGCAAGTCACTTAACCCCAATTGCCTCACCACACCCCCCACCCAAAAAAAAAGGTTTGGAATAGCCACTGTGGCAAGTAAGTAGTGAATTGATTGGGGCAGTATAAAAGTGTATAAAATAGTGCCAGGCACTATGCTAAGCGCTAAGTATACAAAACGAGATAAAAAGACAGTCCTTGCCCTCAAGAAGCTTACAATCTGATGAGGAAGACAGCATTCAAATACATACAGAGAAAGCTATATATGGGATAAATAGAAAATAATTAACAGAGGGAAGGCAGTAGAATTAAGAGCATTGAGGAGGTTTCTGGATGGATTAGAGTGGAGCAGGCAAACCCACCAGCAGGCTTTTGCAGTGGTCTAGCTGTGAGGTGATGAGGGCCTGCAGTGGAGTGGTGGCAGTGTCAGAGAGAAAGGGGTGTATTTGAGAAATGTTACAAAGGTGAAATTGACAGGCCATGGCAGGAGCTTAGATGGGGGGAGAGGGAGAGAGATGAAAGTAAGTACTCCAGGATGATTCCTAGGTTGTGAGCCTGATAACTAGGAGTATAGTGTAGTTCTCTACATTAATAAGGGAAGTTGGAGGGAAGGAGTTTTTAAGAGAAAGATTATGAGTTCTTTTTTGGACACGTTGAGTGTAAAATGTCTACTGGACGTGCAAGACTGGAGGTCAGGGGGCTTCAGGTAGGATAGGTAGATTTGAGAACCATTAGCATAGAGATGGTCATTAAATCCATGGGAGCTGATGAGATCACTGAGTGAAGTACTATAGAAGGAGAACACTTTTGTGTTCCAAAAACCTGTAGAAAAGAGAGAATCAAAAAGAAGTGACTAACTGCATCAAAGGCTGCAGAGAGGTCAAGGAGAATAAGAATTGAGAAAAGGCCATTGGAGTTGGCAACAAAGAGATCATTAGTAACTTTGCAGAGAGTAGTTTCATGGAGGGAAAAGGTTGGGAGCCAGATTGTTAGGAGTTAAGAAGAGAGTGAGAAGAGAGAAAAGTGGAGCCTATTGTAGCTGGCCTTTTCAAGGAGTTTAGCTATAAAAGACAGAAGAGATATAGGACAGCAGTTAGGATCAGAAGGATCAAGGGGAAGTTTTTTTTGTTTGTTTTTTCAGGAAAAAGGAGACATGGGCATATTTATAGGCAGTAGGACATGTAGACAGGAAGAGACTGAAAATAAGTGAAAGAGTGAGGATGACAGAGGGGTAGTCTGCTGGAGATAGGATGGAATGGATCACTTGAACAAGTAGGATTAGCCTTGGTAAGGAGTAAGACCACTTCATCATATAAGACAGGGGTGAAGGAGGGGATAGTGGCAGAAGGCATCTGAGTGATAGCAGACAGGAAAGAGGGAGTTCACAGCAAATGGCCTCAACTTTTTCTATAAAATATGAGGCAGGGTTCTCAGCTAAGAAAGTGGGGGAATGGGAAGTCATAGGAGGTTTGAGGAGAGATAAAAAAAGTTCGTAAAAGTTGCTGTGGAGAGTGGAATAGCAAATTGATAAGGGAGGTATAGTTGGATTGTCTAGCAGCAGTAAGGGCCTAGTTGAGGTTGGACAACATAAGTTTGTAGTGGACCTAGGTTCAAACTGTTGCATGATATTCTCCATCTTCATTCTGTAACACGTGTGTGCGCAAGAGCAAAAGCAGTGAATGGAGAGAGTGATCGGAAGCTGAGGTTAGGCTGGGAGTAATTGGCAATATGATAAGGGGGCTAAGGATTCAAGAGAGGAAGACAAAGTAGAGTTGAATTGGTTCACCAAGGGGAAAAGAGAAGAGTGCACCTAGTGCAGGGGAGATGGCTTGGGAAAGAAATGAGGGGTCGAGTGTGGATGAAGAGTGGGGTTTTGTAAAGAAAGGAGAAGGGAGAGGTGAAAAGCCAATAAGTTATGGTTGGATAAGGGGATTTCAGAATTCTTGAACATAGAAGTGGTATATTTGTGGGTGATGACAGGATCAAGAGTAGGACAAGCTTTACACATGGACCTTCTGACAAACGTCCATTAATCATGTTCAGTGGGTGAGCAGCAGTATTTCAGATTAATCATAGTCCTTCCTGATTAATTTAGGACACTTATCCACCTCCATGGAAGATATCCCAGTCCAGCTAATCAATTAAGGGTTCCCCAATCACCCATGTGTCTGTTTGTGTGTATATATAAGAATTTACAAAGGCTCAACTATTCTTCATGGGCTGCATTAAAGCATGTAGAAATTATTTTTAATCAGCAGTATTTTAAAAAAATATGAGTCCTCTGCATTTTTCTGTCCTGTAGAGAATATGTCATGAGAAGTCAAATAAAACAAGAAAATAAATCTGTTTCTGCAAGCAGCAATCATGAAATCTAATCCAAAGAGAAATGGCTGTTAGATTTTCTGTTCTTTGGGATTATCTACACCTATAGGCATGCATACAAAGGTATGCTAGGTGTGCCAGCAGATTCTGTATCCTTCTTTTCCATTACTCTTCCTCTTCCTCTTCCTATTCCTTTCAGGGAAAATAAGAAGCCCAGGCAATGGCACTTCAAGGGGTGCAGGCACACTCTTCTAGTCATACCTATGTCTATACCTGTGTTCTCCCTCCATTGATATGTTTTGACAGTAACAATTATTGTGAATTTTAAAATAAGTTTACCCAGGAAACAGCTCTTCCACATCACTTTCCCTCACCAAGAGTCTCCTCCCCATTTTAGGCAGAACATTGAAGCACGAACACCAAGGAATGGTCCATTACAACATTCCCGCAGATAACCTCAGCTGGGCAAAGGTAAGTGTGGGGAGCCAACACAAACTAATGCCCCTTAAAGTAGGAGTGATAACTAGCTTTATGGGGGATGTCACCGTAAAGCACTGACAGTCTGCACCTGAAGGCTCAGGTCCATTAGGGACCTTTTATCTGAGTGGTGTAGTGGAAAGAAAACTGGACTTGGCATGGAAAAACCAAAAGGGAGAATAATATTTTACCTACCTCACAGTGTGTGTGTGAAAGTAGTTTGTAAATCTTAAAGCATGCTATAAATATTGGAGTCATGGATTATTCTAAGAAACTGAGGTTGGAAACAAGAGCAGAACCTTTCTTTTGTAATCCTATATGTATTATTTTATATTTTTAAAAGCATTATTCTTAAGGGGGCAACTAGGTAGTACAGTGGATAGAGCACTAGCCCTGGAGTATCTGAGTTCCAATCTGGCCCCAGACACTTCACATTTACTAGCTGTGTGACCCTGGACAAATCACTTAACCCCAAATGCTTCGCAAAAACAAACAAAAACAACCATTCTGAGAAGACTGTAAGTTTCAACAGATTGCCAAAGAGGTCCACGGAACAAAAAAAGGTTAAACTCTTTTCCAGTCATTTGTTACAGTTTTTGACTGTTAAGGGGTATAGAAAGAGATCTTCCTCCTCTCTGGCTCCCACGTGGCTATTTGCCCTGCTGCCCAAAACCTGCCTATCTTTTTCTCCCAATACCTACACAAGAAGAGGGGGCCCAGGTCTCCTCTAGGATGCTCTCTGGGGAACTTTATTAACATTTGATTCTATCTGCTGCCCCAAGGTATTTGGTATTTTGGAGAAAGCAAAAGACGAATATAAATTGGAGGACTACTCCATCAGTCAAATCACACTAGAACAAGTGTTCCTGAGCTTTGCTGAACACGGAACAGCAGAAGATGAAGAAAATGATTAAAGAGTTCTCCTCACCACTGGCTCTTATGACATGTGCCTATATGTAGTAAATAAAGGGACAGTTTATCGTACCTTTGTAGCCTTTGTCTTATTTTCTACTTGGAGAATTCAGGTGAGTATCTTTAGGCACAATAAGCTCCTTGCAGATATGTGCAAGACATGAGAGAAGAAATCATAAATACTCAGAACCTAAAGTCTTTCAATAAAATGTCTACACTTTTCTTCCCAAAACCAGTTTAAGAAAAAACATTGTTTAGTAGGGCAGAGGACCAAAAGTGCTCTGAGCTGTGAGTGGAATATTGAAAAGTGATGGATTTAGACTTAGGAAATGCAGCCTTCGGAGAAGTAACCATCTTTTTGGGCAGCCAAGCCCCACTCCCCTAGGATGATGTGGGGGGGGGGAGGAGAAATTAGTGGCCAGGGTAAATCATACAGCATTCCTTCCCATTGGCATTTCTCAACATAAAATCTAGTTAAATGAAGACAGCCAAGAGGGGAAAATATGCTTTTAGGAGACAAAAGGAAAAGGAAATTATTGTGCTATCACCTACTTGTTCTTTCCTTTTTTACTCCTCAACCCACTACTCCCTAAAAAACAAAAACAAAAAAACCCTATTAGTTAGAAACATGGGTAGTGTACCTCAAATCTTCTTTAGCACTAACTATTGAAACCACCTGTCTTTTCTGCCACTAGCCATATCCCTACAGATTCAGTCATTTGGTCCCCAAAGCAGCTTCAGGCCATTACACAAAGTCTCAATTACTGGGTTATTAACTTGATTACCACTCCATACAGGATTATTCTGGAATCAGGCTATACTGGCTGACAGAGCATCCTGGCTAACAAAACAACATACTGTTTGCTAGTTCTTTGTGGCACTCTGAAAAGAGAATCCAGGCACTTTTGTGTCATAATTACCTCTGCTAGTAGAGTCATAAAAAAAGAAATTCATCCTACCCTTCTTTTTCCAGATGAGAAAGAATGTACCAGCATCTCCTATAAACTCATTATCTAAATCTTATTTGAATGACAGACACAGAGGCTCAGAATTGCAAGAGACCTCATAAACCAATTAGTTCAACCACATATGAATAAGAATCTTTTCAACATTTTGCCCAACAAATAGTTATCCAACTTTTGCTAGAAAACCTCCAGAGAGAGAGAGAACCCACTAATGTTTGAGGCAGTCCATTTGTGGGCAACTTAAAAAATCCAGTCTGCAACAAAAGGCAACTGAGGCAGAGCTCTGAGTAGGTATCAATTTATTAGGGAGACCAGTGGTCCGTAATCAACTGGATCCAAGACTTTTCCTTTGCAGTCAAGGATACCTCTGCTTGAGGGCTGCTTGCTTTTATAGAGAATGAGTGATCACTAAAAATAGAATGAGGTGGTACAACCCATGATTAGTTTATTCCAGAAATGGGGTAAACTATAATTGGCCAAGGGACATGTTCATCAATCACTAGCATTTGGTCAACGTTTAGTCACCAGAGCTCTGGGACTTTCCATAAACAGTTACGAATATTAGATGTTAAACAACAAAGAAAATGGGGAATTTTTTTTTTTGGAACACAGCTCTCATAGTATATTCATAGAGTGGGGCAGGACAAGAATAATGCACAAGTTAACATAAATCTTTATAATAGGCCTAACTAATACAAGTATAAATCTATCCTACCTCAATTAAGAGCAACAAAAACATCAATACATAGTGGGTTAATTAATCTTACATAACTCCTAACAGTGTTAACTAAATCAAACTCAGTTCTATCCTACCTACCTAACATACTGATACTTATTAAATCACAATGAACTGAGTAAATACTGATCAAATTGAGTAGGGATATCAAAATTATTCTCACACATTCCACTCTTGGATAAATCTAATTGTTAGGAAGATCTTCCTTATTTGAAACCTAACTTTAGTAAGTATAAAATAAGGCAGGGTTTAAACAACAGTTTGCTTAAAAAAGATCTGGGGCTGCTATTGGACTACAAATTCACTATGAATTTGATATGGCAACCAAAAAAGCAAAAATGATTTTAGGGAACTGAGAGACATAGCCTCTAACAGTAGGGAAGTGACAGTTTTTCTGGATTCCACACTTAAATTTAATCTGCAGTAACATTTTCTCCACTACCTTCTTAAGTCAAGACAGTTAACAAAGCACTGATTTATAGTGTTTTGCCAGTTTTAGGTATAAATGATCACACTGAAAATTTGACCATCCACTCACCGGAGTTCACTTGAGCTGGCTCTGATGGGGTGCTTGGGTGCTTGTGCTTGTACTTATACCCCAATTTCTCCCTAGCCTCAGAAACACTATCCCTGACAGTTTTTCCCCAGCCCAAGGACACTGTGCCTAGCAGTTGTTCATGCATGGGCCTCAGCACGACCCTTATCTCTCTCGTTGGTAACAGCTACACAGAGCTGGGCTGCTCAGGCCCCAGCCCTCAGATCATGTCTCTGGAAGCCTCCCAATTCCTTAGTAGTTCCTGTCTTGTAAGAAAGCTTTCCCTTGTTGCAGAACATTCTCTCATCAAGACAGAGGGAGAGGGGTGCCTTGCCCAGCCCAAGGAGTTTTGTCCTTGGCCAGCCCAAGGACTCTTCCTCCTGCCAGACTCCAAAGACCCATACCTCTGTCATCTCCTTTCCTGTCCGGTATACTCCCTGTACTTTCCCATCCGTAGCCCCCAAAGACACTTGCATCTTTGGATTACCTCATCAATGTTCCTGGCATTTCTTTCCCACATTCTTTTCCATATAAACTGCATTCTCAGTCTCTCCCAGGATCCTTTAAGAATCCTTGCCTGCTGTGGGGCACCTAGGTGGCGCATTGGATAGAGCACCAGCCCTGAAGTCAGGAGGACCTGAGTTCAATTCTGGCCTCAGACCACTTGACACTAGCTGTGTGACCCTGGGCAAGTCACTTAACCCCAATTGCCAAAAAAGGCAAAAAAAAAATCCTTGCCTGCTGAAAAGCATAACAATAAACTTTGCCACCTTGGCTTAAAGAATGCTTAAGTCTGTGAATTCATTCCAGAAGACTCGTCCTGTACTCCAGTCTTTGAGGGGTCACAACCTCTCAACCTCTTACACTGCAAAAGCTCCAATACACCCCTACTTCCAACTATTCTGAGTCTATGAATGGAGCTACCACTTTAAGGCTTTTAGGATGAGACCACAAGGTGGATGATTTCCAACTGGGCTTGTGTATCTTCTAATAAACATCTGTAGCTTTTATATCATTAATCTCTTACATATGTCATTCCTAACACCTTTGTAATTTGAACCCAAGTATTGATTGGTTTGTCCATCAAGCTACTACAGATTTGTAAAGAAAGGGAACATCTATCCCATTACTGACATGTATCACTTCATTATAAATAACAAACACACACACACACACACACACACACACACACACACACACACACACTCTCATACAATATGCCAAGTACTATGTAACAAAAAAATGTGAGCTGGTAAATCTATGATAAAATCCCTTCTCTGGGCTTCTACTCCCTGGATCCCAGGACATATTTTAATGTGTGTATTTGGCTTTCTTGGGCAGAGGGTAAAAGATTGGGAATCACCCTACAATAGCTGTAAAATTTGTAACATAGGTCAGAAACTGACTTCATTTTCACTTTTTAAAAAATCCTTTATCTTCAGCAACCCAGGCAAATTTAAACAGTCTGGTTCAGGTGGCAAATGACTCAAATGTTTTGTAAAGGACTTTCTCCTAAGCAACTCTGCCAGCTAAGCAGTGAAACAGGTTTCCACATTTTTTGATACCTCCTTTAGCTTTTATCATTTACCTCTCTGTTAAAATGCCTAACCAACTAGTCTGCTAACTGCCCACCCCACCTACCAAAGTGATTTTGGATTGGTTTGCCTTGTTCTATCTTCCCAATATAAGTAGAGAGACAGTGTGATGTATTGGAAAGAACACTGGGTTTGAAGTCAGAGTATCAAGGTTCAGATCTAGGCTCTTCTACTAATTACCTGTGTGACACTTGGCAAATCATTTATTCTCTGAGCCTCCATTCTACATCTATAAAATAAGGCAACTGAACTAGATTTATTCAATTCCACAAGCATTTACTATACCTACTATAGGCAAGATACTCTGATACAAGGTTCTGGGTTACAAAAACAAAAAGAAAAATCCTGTCCTCAAGGAAATGATACTCTTCTGGGAAGATAGAACATACAATTAAATACAAAGTAAGTTCAGGAGGAAGAGAGCATTTACAAGTAGGAGTTTAGGTTTCACCTTGGAGAAAGCACCAGAGCTGAGTTTTGAAGAAAACTCGAGATTCAAAGAAGAGAAAGAAATACATTCCATGCATAGGGGGGAGATAGCCTATTCAAAGGCATAAACACAAGAAATGATATGCTGAATTCAGGGAACTAGAACACTTTGGTTGGAACATAGACTGTCAAGGAAAGTAACATGAAGAGTAAATGAGAGATCTGTGAGGTTTTAAATGCCAGGCTGAGGAGTTTGTGTCTTATTCTAGAGGCAATAGGAAGCCATAGAAGATTGTTGAACAAGGAAGTAGATCTATGCTTTTAAAAATTATTTAGCAGTTTTATGTAGGATTGCTTGATTGGAGAAGGGAGAAATTAGAAGCTAATTAGGTCACTATTGCAATAGTCCAGATAAGAAGTGGTGAGGTTTTGAAAAACATTTTGAAAGAATTGATTATGCTTGGCAACTGACTGAATATAGGTAATGAAGTAAAGTGAAAAATATAGGGTGACATTAAGATTTTAAACCTAGATGGCTGGAAGGATGGTGACACCTTCAACAGAAATAAAGTTTGGAGCTTGCAGGTTTAGGGGAAAACCTGAGGTCCATTTTGGACAGTTAGATGCTGTAGTTTGAAGTAACTACAAGACATCCAGATGGAGATTTCCCATAAGACCTGGAACTCAAGATCGATGTAAAGAAATGGGATGGGGGGGAGAAAAGAGAAATTTGGGAATCATCTGTAGAGATAATAATTGAACCCACAGGAATTAAGGAGGTCACCAAGTGATGGGGT